AAAAAAAAAAACCAGATTTCCACATTAAAAAAAAAAACAACACAAAAAATTAACTCAAAATGGATCTAAGACCTAAATGTAAGAGCTAAAATCGTAAAATTCTTGGAAGAAAGTATCTGGACACTGGATGTGGCAGTGACTTTTTGGATATGAGACGGAAAGCACAGGCAACAAAAGAAAAAGCAGATAAACTGGACTGCACTGAAACCGAACACTTCCATGCATCAAAAGTAAAGACAACCCACAGATGGGAGAAAACATGTGCAGACCACATATCTGATAAAAAATTAATACCCAGAACGTATAAACAATTCAATTTAAAAATGGGAAAAGGACCTGAATAGACATTTCTCTGAAAAAGACAGAAAAATGGCCAAGGACTACATGCAACAGTGCTCAGCATCACTCATCACTGGGGAAATGCAAGTCAAAACCACAGTGAGACACCCTTCACACCCTAAGAATGGCCACAGAAAATAACAAGTATTAGCGAGGTCGCGGAGGAAACCTCAGGCCTTCCTGGACGGAGTGTAAAATAGCCCAGCCTTTGTGCGAAACAGTCGGGTGGTTCCTCAAAAAGTTAAACAGATTTACAGTATGATCCAGAATTACACTTTTAGATATATATACTTGAAAGAACTAAAAGTAGGGACTCAAACAGATACTCTGCCACCTATGCTCACAGGAGCTTTATTCAGTGGCCAAAAGGTGAAAACAACCCAAACATCCACCAACATGTTGATGAATGGACAAAATGTGGAACAGTCATACAATGGAATATTCTTCGGCCTTAAAAAGGAATGAAATTCTGACACTGGCTACAACATGCATGAACCTTCAAACATTATGATAAATGAAATAAGCTAGACACAAAAGATGAAAATCCACTGATATTAGGCAGCCAGAATGGGCAAATGCATACAGACAGAAGTAGAACAGAGGTTACCAGGAGATGGGGCAGGGGGAGGTGGCAAAGGGGAAGTTACTTTCAATGTGTACAGAGTTTCAATGTGGGATAATAAAGTTCTGAAAATGGACAGTAGTGATAGTTGATGCCACGGAACTGTACGCCTAGAAATGGTTGAGATGGTAACTTTTATGTTTAAGATTTCATTTTTTTTAATTTTTAACAAGATTTTATTTTTTTTTTTAATTTTTTTTTTCAACGTTTATTTA